ATACATGCTTAGGCGATCATGTACCTTTCGATACATGACTGACGAGGCAGGTTTTTCCAGTAGTAGGTTGCTATTTCTTTCTGCGTTAGGCCAGTCGCCATCCATATCTATAGAACCCGGTCTGTCCTGTTATTTACCCATAGCTGGGGAGAAAAGAAGAGGATTCATAACTTTCCCAAGGGTATTAGCACATAAGTGAATGTAATAGATTCAACTAGAATTTGAATTATTTATTATTTAATTTAATTTATAATTAGTTCGTTTAAAAAATCTGGTCATATTTAAATTTATCTGAACTTAATTTACTGGTGAGTGCCATATTGCCTTTGTTCTGTTTCGCGATGAAGATTAACAGTATAATGATAATTTTGCCTTTGCATTCTGAAACAATATTTTTCTCTACCAGGTGTGACATTAATCTTTGCACCAAAGCAAGATGCACTGTTGTAGTTGCGAATGTTTTCCCTGAATTTCACTAAACTATAGTATTAAAAAAATTATTTATATATACATTCATGTTCACGACTAATTCAGAAATTTTATTATCAGTTCCTGCAGACTTTATTAGAACATTAGCCTGTATAGTATAAAATGGGTGTACTTTCATTGAATACATATCGAAGGTGGATATTTGGAATTGCAAGCTATCGTAAATATTTATGGATAACTAAATCTATCTTTCAGACCCATCCTCTCCCCGACCTGGTGCTTAAGAACTCCCAGTCAAAATTATTTTCACATGAGTAATTAAAATTACAAAGAAGCATGCATAAGTAATTTATTTCTGACGTCAGTCTTGACGGCGAGTAAACACTACTTACGTTCATAATTTAATCTAAAAATCATTGTTATAAAAATTCCGTGAAATTTTCATGGGCACAGCTAGTTAGTATTATTATTATTATTATTATTATTTTAATTTCTGCTGTACACACATTTCCTTTCAGGTCCCAAACAGAGATCTAAGGTCAGAGATGACGTATTGTAATTATTTACACTATTTGTATTTTTCAGACGGTTGTCCTCATCTTTGTTGCCATATTCACGACGTTTCTTCTTCAGGTGATTGTAATTTCGAACGGAACCCATTATTTTGTTCACCGGTGTAGATTGTTCTAGTTCCACGTGTCATGACTCTTTCGGATATCCACTTATCATTTATGTCCCTTTAACTCAACTCTCCAAGATTTTGTTTACTTCTGCTGTAGCCAGTTATTGAACTCACAAACCTTTGGCTTAAGTCAGTGGATTCAACTTTTATCCACTGTGTCATGTGTTTTAACAATATGAATATTTAAAAAAAAAAATTCTGAACTATATTACGAAAGGAAAATAAAAATGGTTTCAAAACACTGTTCACCTGTACATGCGTGCATGGGACCACTTTTCTACAGTATTACGCTTTTAGATTTTAAAAAATAATTTCACCTGAAGCAAGGCAATAAAGCCACTGAGATAAGAGGGATTACTGAGTGTTAGGGAATTTGAAAAAAAAGAAAAAAAAGAAACCATTATTAAGGAGGAGAGAGAACTAAAAGAATAGGACTTAAAATCTCAGAAAATAACGTTTGACATTGCATTTACATTTTTGAAGATCAAAGTTGGCTGGAAAGCCGGACGCCAGAAGAGAACTCCACAAGTGAAAAGTACGAGCGAAGAAACTGTTAGCATAAAACTTCCGGTTACATTTAACAATTTCAACATTAAAATGATACGACCTAGCTGCCAATCTAGTACTGCGCTTAAGATTCGTAAAGTCGAGATACAAAAAGAGGGAAGCTCATGAGAACGATTACCATGAAAATACCTATAGTGTCGCACGCTGTTAGTACATTCAATTCTTAAACTCAAACGGAAGTGCTCACTTTGACATTCACGGCTCATATGACAAAAACAGTTTTTAATTTCGCCCGACTCTTCGCACCCACTTCCAGAATACCGTTCAAAAATACCAGGGCCATAAAACATCTTTGAGTGTTGATTTATTCCCACGAGACTATCGCACTCGAATACATACAGTGGCGTAGTTAGAGTAAACGTCACCCAGGGTGGTCCGCGTAAATGTCACCCCAATGACCCCGATTCACCCTATGCTGAATGGTTTGCTGTAGCTAAATTTTCATACATGCTCTACCTCTACTTTACTCTACTGACCGGTACGTTACTGTTTACATGTATGATCCAAGACAAAATCCGATACCACAAAATAATCAGTTCAAATTAAAAAATTTTTAAAATGCAACTGTTCACTTTCAGAACAACTAAATACAAAACACGGCAATACACAAAAGAATGACATTCGATACTATGGTCTTAGAATGAATGTTTTCTTGTTTTCATTGTGGCAAACTGGTCAATGACATCGTCAAAATCTATTTGTCTTGTAAGCTCGTTTTCAATGGACAGCACAGCCAGATCCGAGAGTCTCGACTGGCTCATGGTTGACGTAATTTTCTGTTGCTAATTTTCTGGTGTCCAATTTTCCGTTGCATCATTTTCTGGGTACCATTTAATTATCAATGATGTTTGAAAGTATTTTTCTTGACAAAAATGTTCTATTTAATTTTTAAGCATTTTTCGGAACATTGTAAAATGTAAACCAACTGCATTAAAGGTTACCTAGAGAATTTACGCAAAGTTTATTTTTTTGTTTTTCTTTATACAAGTAAAATGAATTTACATTGTATTTTGATGTTATTATGATTTTAGTTTTAGGGATAATTTAAAAACAATAAGTATTTATCATTAGTACCAATAATGGAAAATTAAGTTAAAAATTTAAAAGAATCGTTTTTGGAATCGGAAAATAGGCACAAATTTTTCCGATTCCGATAGCGTTTCGGTTTCCAATACCCCCAAAAGTTCCGATTTTTCCGATTCTCGATTCCGATTAATCGTCCCAACACTAGTAGATATATTCAAAAGTATATCGCTCACTCAATGGAAAATTGTATTTCAGCGAATTGATACACAGGCAAGACTGAAATTGTTGCACTTTTGGCTTCGTATTTCGTTTTGTTGTTATTAATGATGCAGAGTTAAAACACCATATCATCCGATAAAATGTTACAACAATGTCTCTTGTTAGTAACCAAGATTATAGCCACTGAAACACATGAAAGCTGAAAACATTGCTATTTTTCCTACTCACAAATTTCCCGAAAATTTATTAGAAAATTTCTGACGGGGGGACAAAACTGTTATTGTTCCCAGGTATACTCTAATATGGGCAAGTAATGAATCCGCAAACGAAAACAAGACTATGAAAGTATAGTGACCATCAATACGTATTTATAGTAGAATCTTTCTTCTTGTTCTTGTTCTTGTAACGGTATTCACCCGGGGTGAGTTGAGCCGGCTCCAATATTGGAGTTTCATAGGAATTTGGAATTCACAAGCGGTCCCAAAACCCGTATGTATAGGCTTCAGATCAGTTCAGGAAACCGACAGCCCGACAACAGCACATGAGATTTGATTATAGTGGTGAAGGTTTCGAGCAGGACCATCCACACTTTTTGAAGGGCCGATTACTACGTGCCACAAGGTCGCCAAACGAATTCAGAGTTTTCCTTCTCCTAGACCAGTTGCCATCCAAAGCATCCAGTCTGTGTTGGTATTTACCCATAGCTGGAGGGAGAAGAAGAGGATTCACACCTTTTCCAAGGATATTAGCACGTAATGGACTCGACTCCTCAATCCAAGCCGCTATCCATTACTCCACTGTGCCTCCTTATAGTAAAATGACCAAGAATACATTTTATCTGGAGTTGAAGGCATACAATTGTTCAAAATATTTACATTTAGGCATTAAATAACCCATAGAGTTATTGATAGAGGTAACAATTAATACTTAATAACAATAATTTGTTGTTAATAGTTACTTTGTTTTAATAAATTCATCTCGTTTTTTGCCTTGAAAAAATCCACATTGGACGAAACGCATCCGCTAATAATACAGTTTTCCTATTGTCTTTTACCTTTATACATAGATACATAGATACATACATATATATATATATATATATATATATATATATATAAGATTAACATGAGTAAAACTTTGTCACTTAGCTGATTGATATTACCTTCAGTATCTTGATTCCAGAGTTTCGTAGACGTACCTGCCCGTCCACGCTTCCGGGGGTATCAGCAATATATATATACAGGGTACGATGGGTAAATTGTCGACATTATATATTTTTTTAAATTTCGCGCATGCGAGTTTTTATTTATTTTGTCGACTGCACTGTATAGTAGGGTCAGTTGGGCACAGTCTGTAAGAAAAAGTGCACCATGACGCAAATTTGGAAACAGCATGCTATACTGCTTGGCATTCGCGCCGGAAGCTCCAATACGAACATTTCAGGGTGTGTGACTGTCAATCTGAGCACAGTGCAGAGGATTTAGAAAGAACATCGTAGTGTTTGTAGTGATCACTAGTGATGGCGACATTATGCCTACATTCATCTTTCTACAGGGGACTCAGACTCAACACAGAGACCTACATCAGGTAGTTCTGCCCTGGAATAAGAGGGTGCGTGCTGGAAGACCGTATGTCTGGCAACAGGATTCTGCACCATAGCTGTCTGACAATTTCTGCGACCACATCACCTCTTACATCTGGCTACCTAACTGCCCAGACTGCAACCACCTTGATTATTATGTGCTGGGCACTATTTGAGCAAGAGACCAACAAAATTCCTTGTAACGTCCAATATAAACTTTACAACATTCACTTTCTTGTTTAGCGGAACATCAACCTCTATGGGTTATTTAATGCCGAAATGTATATATTTATATGCAATTCTATCTTTGGAGATAATAATGGTTTTAGTGATACAAGTCTTACTAATTATCCCATAGCTGGGGGAGAAGAGAGAGATTCATACCTTTCCCAAGTATGTGTGTAAGTGAATATAATGAATCCAATGGGAATTGGAACTCGGCACTCAAATTAACAATTCCAAGTCATTATCCATTATAGCACTTGCACATCCAAGCTTACAGCACCTGGTATTCCCAAGTGGTCACCCATCTAGGTACTGACCAAACATGACATTGCTTAACTTTGGTGATCATACGTGATGTGGTCGTAAGCCTGTAAGTGAATGTAACTAACCTGACTATAATTTGAACTCGGCTCTTTGATTTCTCATTTTGAGCCCTTACCCATTACACCACATCTCACTTCCATTACATAAGCTTAAAAATATAAAGGTACACTCTGGAGACTTCCCTTATCTGTAGCTCTTAGTGAGGACCAGTCTTCGAAACTCACAGACTGGCGCTACAGAATCACAAAGAATTGTATCAAAAACCACTTCACTTGTTGAGGACTTTCGACAGCACCAATAACTGGAATAGATATCACATGTCCCTCGAAGAGAAAATAATGATAAATGAAGATACTGATGTTACACACTATTTTGAACAAAAAGTTAGGAATGAAGCCCCACCCCCTCCTCACCAATGCTGAAAAGAGCAATAACCGTGTAGAGCAACGTTTCTCAACCTTTTTTTACCCTTTCGTAACCCTTAAAATAAATTTACGTCTCAAGGAACCCCTGCGCCAAAACAAAAATTATACACCATATCTTTCTCATTTTATTTTCATCGTAGTTCACGTGGTAAATATCATAGTATATATTTTTGAATAACTGGTTTAAGGAAAAATGAATACTTCTTTGTCAACTTTTTGCGGTAATGCTAAATAAAATTCATACTATTCGTTTATAATACTTCATCAAGGAGTTTTCATTCGCACAAAAAAATTTATAAACTCAAACGTAAAAAATAGACATATGTAACCTGAACATAAACAGAACGAAAACAGATAATAATTGCTGCATCAGTTTTTTTAAAAAAAATTTATACTTTACTCACTGGCAATGTTGAAAAGAGATAAAGGTAAATCAGGTAACACCTGTTCTTGTGGAATCCTTTTGCGGAACCTTAGGGTTCCGGGGAATCCCAGTTAAGAAACACTGGTGCAGAGGGTTGGTATTTGGCTTCCCTTCATATCACTTGAATATTAGTAAACCGCAATAAACAAAAAAAACGAAGACTTGATTAGAAAATGACTGGCCAATGTTTATTGACGACACACAGAGATACAAGATGCGGAGGTATAGGGAATGTTTGACCTTCAGCCTTACATTGAATAGGGGTGATTCAATACCCTTTTTTTGTTGTTGTTGTTGGATCTGTTACCAAACACGTCCGAACTCAACCGTTGGGAAGTGAGACGAGAACGATCATCTCCTTTCAGGAAGTGGGGTCATAAAATTCACACGAGACCGGAAACCCTTTTTTAGTTTCCTTTTTGAATTACGGGAAAATGAAATTCTTTACTTTTTATTATTATTATTTACTAATTTATTTTCATTCTCCCACAACTATGAGTGGACTTGAGAAACCTATTTTCCTGAAATATTAGAAAGATTTATAAAATTTCAACCGCAGCATTGGCTGTTTGGTCAATGAATTGAATAAAGAAATGAATAAAGTAACAAATAAATAACAAATGACAATACATTTTGATTTTATGTGGAAAGAAATCCAGAAATCCTACAAAAACTTTAAAAATATATAGCGTCACCCTATTTCAAACCTGCAGTTTTCCAAAGAATACCAGATGTAGATTGTAGAAAAAGGAATTCTGTTTTTACTACACAGACGCCACATTGGTTCTTGAAAATGACTTAAACTGACAAAAGTACTTAAACAACAACAAAAAACTGTAGCACATGAAATTCGGACAGTTTATCCACAACTTAGCGCAATACTCACAACACCTTACCCGAAAATTGGAAAAAAAAAACAATAAAAATTTAAACAGACAGTCCTGGTTCTTTTTCATTTTTTGGATGAACACTTGCTGTCTAAATATACCTTATAAAAAAGTAGTCATAGGAAAACATTAAAACAATATATAATATAAATTCTTATTTTCTTCAAGAACAATTTTAAGGAAAACTATGACAAAAAAGTAGAGTATGTTTTCTTGTGATGCGTTTCGTCCTTTCGGACTAAAAAGTGAGTTTTTTTTAGTTTTTTTACGTTGATGCAGATGTTTTATCACTCTTAGTCTAACGAAGTCCTAAAAAAAAAAAAAAAAAAAAAAAAAAAAAAAAAAAAAACAAAAAAACAAAAAACAAACAAAACGAAAACAAAAAAAAAAAAAACGCGTTACAAAACTTTTTCTACTTTCTTTGCCATAGTTTTTCCCTAAGTAGTTATTTAATTTAATTATTTTATTTCCTGAATGTCTATGTTCGGTGCGAGTCAACTAATAATTGAAAAAATGTATGTAACCAAACGTCACAGAAGTAATGAGTTACGACTTAAGTAATTAAAAACACACGAACAAGAAGCCTATAACGTCACAGTCGAGCAAGAGAAGAACTAGCCAACAAATTAAGTTATTAAGTAATTACCCTATTAATTAAGCAAACTTGTTTTGAAAGTAACAAGGATTGAAACAATCAATTAAACAAAGTGTGAAATGAAATATGATGAGTTATGTAGGGTAAAAAATTAGGGACAAAAATTAATCTGCGAATTCTTCATGCTTCCATGATAATCACATATTCAGTACGGACCACAATACTAAACTTGTACCCAATTTTCTTTTAAATCGAGTACAGAAAATTATTTTTAATTAGAGTATATGCACATGTAAAATAAAACTATTTAAAACTAAAATAAAAGGTGATTTCTCATTTTAAAATGGATAATAGTAAAAATTCGTACAGAAATACGTTTTTCTCTCTTGTGTTTAGAAAGGCAAAGTGAAGGGCTCCTGGACTTTGCAAGGTTGTAGTTATTGCATTGTACTTAATGTGACTAGTATAATGACAACAAGAAGTGCGACAGACAGACAATCCAGTCGATAGATAGGTAAATAGGTAGGTCCGACGTGTAAAGGGTAGCCTGCTGACGACGTAGGGTAAGTGGCTGGCAAGCGCTCAACATAGACTAACACTTCGATAAAGAAAGAAGTAAAAATAAGAACGATTCAGTTTTTAACTCTGTCCTTCCTCTTCCTTCGCCTTTTCATTATCATCACTCACAAGCGACCCGTCGTATGTTCGCTGAGGGGAAAAACGTTATGGGGGTATGTATTGTAGTCGTTTTAATTTTCTAACATTAACAACAACCACTTCTCTTTGACCGTCTTTAACGCTAACACTAACTTCAGTACGTAGTTTTGAATGTAATTGTAATACTGTTTTTTGTTTTTGTTTTTCCTAGTGTATTGTATGCCATAGCCTGCTGGACCGTCCACCAAGTCCGTCATATCTCCTCCTTCCTTTCTCTACTCCTGTGCGGGCCTAGTGTATGTAAAAACTTGTGGACCTGTCGAGGTAAAAAAAACACCTTGGATAAGAAAGACAATTTTGAAAAATCAATCGGAATACTCTCGAAAACAACATGAAGTCTTCCCTTACAGATCACTTATTACCAACAAACAATCATTGTCCTGATCCTAACGTATGTTGTATTCTTCCTTACAGCCCCTTAAATATAGGTGCTATGAGTGTAATTCGATCGACTGTGATGCCCATCTGTCACACAGCGACCACGAACGAGGGGATTGCCATCCTGAATGATAATAACAATTTGAACACTTCTGCTGCCACTACTATTGGTAATAAAATTGGTAGTCCTAAATCTGTCAACTGCAAACAGAATTCTGGAGCTACATTAACCGTAGGACTAAAAGAAAAGATGGGTCAGTTGCAAGTGTATCCCACAAGCCCCAAAATTGGGCACCGTCAAGAAGAAAGTGAAAGCTCTAGTAAGGATCACTCACCACAAATACAACGTCGAGATAACGCCCATTTGGATTCTTATAAAGAGCCTGAAAATTTAGAAATTCAGTCAAGGTTTGTTAAAGATGCATATTTTCTTTTTATAAATTGTTTTTTTTTGATTTTCTAAAACTTAATTGTAAGTTTATTGAACTTTTGCAAGCTCTTCTTTTTGAAGAGAAGAAAACTAAACAAAGCAGAGATAAACAAAAAAAAAGTTGTTTTTATTTTGCTGTTTTTTTTTTTTTATTTATTATTGTTTTATTTTTTTAAAGATTTTGGTCAGGAATAAAAGTAAAATAAAAATACGACTTCCTAAAGAAATAGAATACTAAGTTAAGTCACTAAACTAAACTAAACAAACTTAAAAAATAATTCTAGGTCTCTTTCTAGAATCTAAAAAAGCAATTTTCTCTTTTAAAGTTGAGATGTTTTAGTAGTCTGATTTTTTTTTTTTTTGTTGTAAACAGTCACTAAAACTGCAGTCAATAATAATGTATTATTGTAATTTTTAATTTACTTACAACCATGAAAAGAAAAACAATATCAGACAATAAAAACAAAAAAGTTATTTCAAATTTGCAGATATTTTATTTTGTTTTTGCTCACAAATTAATAAACTATTTCTGAAAAAAAAAAAAAAACTATTTACCATTTTTTATCAAAATTATTGACATCATGAAATTCTTGTTTGTTAAAAGTAAAACAAATAAGAATTTATACACTTTTAAAAATCCTTTTATAGTCGAGATTTAATTATTTGGGGAAAGAGAATCATCACTGCCTTATGTCTACAGAACATTTTTCGATAAGACAGCCACATGATCAAACGCACCTCTTTAATTGTCGCGTTTCACTGAATCTCTCTTTTATGCGAGAAGTTGCTAATCAATCATTCGCGAAATAGTTAAGGAAAAAAAAGCTGTAACCAAAATCTTCTTTTACGGATAGGTTTAAGCCTCAACCGCCCCCAATTTCAGACACACATATACAAAAATAAATAAAACTTAAAGAAAAAGTGTTGTACTGTGTGCTATTGATAATTTATCACCGGGACAGACCTCTCAAATTGGGACAGTCACGGATGTGCGGTACAGTAAAGCTCAAGTATTATTAATGATCTATTTGCCTCCCCACTTTGGGGCAAAACGTGAAATTTATTTTAAAGGTCTACTACACATAGGTTCACACGTTCCTTAACAAAATTATCCAGTTTCAGTCGGATCTTTTAGTGCAATGGTGGGGAGTGGTGCCCTAAAGACGCCCCTCCCCTAGGTTTATCATTTTTTTAACTTTTGATCAGTTAGGATTTACTACAACTACTATTGTATTTCTTTTCTTAATGATATCTGATTTTCTTCATTTGTTTGAATTTTGAGAATTACTCAGGAAAAGTCCAAGAAAAACTGAAAAACACTAGTAAAGTAAGTAAGTAAACTTTCGGTCTCCCCCCCCCACTTTCAGTCTTTTTTTTTTTCTTTTAGTTATTTTTAGTGACCTGATTTCACTAAAAACTAAAATTAAAAAGTAATACTGGTTGTTTTATTTCTTAAAAATACAATTTAAGAAGACTTGAAAATATTTTTCTGGGAATGCAAAAAATGTTATTGCAAAAAACAGAATATTTTTTTATTTTTATGCTCGTTTTTTTACTGCAGTAATGAGTTTTTTAAATGTTGTTAAATAAAAATACGCTTTTTTTTCTTTTCTTTTTTAAAAACAAACTAATTTTCTTTAAGGTTAAAAATGCGAAAAAAGTCACTTCAACAGTTTGAATTGAATCAACTTCATTAGTAAATTGAAGAATACTAAATAAATTAAAAAAAAAAACAAACTTAAATTAGTACTGGATATGTACGTTTTTACATGGTGATCATGCTGTTTGTAAAGTATTTACATTTTATTTTTACAACAAAAATAAAAATATAATTGCTCTAAACAGAAATTAATAAATATTTTGTTATAGAGCCAAGCCAAGAGAGGGACATGACTCACTGCTTAGCTTATATTTTGCTTTTTGGAACTCATAGGACAGGGCAAGAGGGACAGAGGAAAATAACGCCTACTCATTTACTTGAGCTTTATTAAGTAAATGTTTGGCGGAACAGGGTAAGAGAAATAACGAAAAGGTAAAATTTACTAAGAGCCACAGAGAAAGGACTGGGAATTGTGGGGAGCCATGATCGCCTACGTCCTGAGGGGACATGCCACACCAAGAAGATTATTCAATCATTTATGATTTATGTTTTTTTCAGTCACAATAATATTCTGATGGAGGACGCTATCTGCATATTTAATTTTAATTTTCTTTTATTTTCTGGGTAGCTTTGTTTTTAGTGTGTGTTTGGGGGGGGGTACTAAAAAATTTAACTTGCAATCCTTCATTTTTAAACTTATTATACCCCCCCTCAAAAAAACTGTTTATTTGTATTATATACGTACGCGGGAACACTTTTGTAAAGTAGTACCCATTTCTATTTTCGAGTTTTCATACTATTCGAGATAAAGTGACAGCAAGTTTCTTCACTACTCCAGCACCCTCCTCAGTATTTTTTTTTTTTACCTGTTCTTTTAAAGACTGCTGTTGTGTGGATAGTCTCAATTCTCCCTCGGAATCCTAGCTTTTCCAGCCATTTTGTTAGGCTCTTTGCATTGGGAGTGGGGAGTTGTTCCAAGTACTCCTACAATGATGAGTACAACTATCATTACCAATGAATCGAATGTTTCACCTTTTCCATTTTTGTTTTCCATTTACGAGATTTAGACACTTCTACACAACTTTTTACTTTTTCAATTTAAAAACTGCAGTCTGTTAAGAACTGAAAAATAAAAGATGAAGGTTTTACTTTTTGTTCTCTTTCAGTTTCATGCTTTTTTGTTTGTTGTGTTGATGGAGGTGTACAATTGCGATCAGAAATAATAGTTTTTTTTTCATATGCGATGCTTAATTTACGACTGTACCATTGTTTGAAAGTGTTTTTAGTTTATAATTCTTTATCTTTTGTTATTTTAAATAAAAAGCAATAACTCGCAATAGTTTCCATCAACCGAAATAAACTCAATGTTTGACCGCTTTAAGAATACGTGGCCAACAGTTTGTAGACCTCTTTACTTATACAACCAAATGCGATAACCTGGTTAAAAATTCAATTATGATATTTTTCCGTGTTTAAATTAAGTCTTCTTATTCTTCTCTTTGTCCTTAATAAATTGGACGCGATGACTTGTTCCTAAAAATACACAGCATTTAAAAAAAAAAAAGAGTAAGAAGCCACTGTTTTTTGTTGTCTCCTGTATGTATGAGCAAGTTATTTTTGGTTGGACCAAATTTTTTTCTTAAAGGCTGAGTGTTTCTTTCTTGGTTGGTGATGGTGGTGGGTGCTTTTTGTCATAAAAAATAATAGGTTATAAAAAAAGATCTTAAAATATTTTTATTAAAAAAAAAAAAAAAATTGTTAAAAGATTTTAAAAAATCCTTCCCTTCAAGTTAGTGCACTTTTTAGTTTTATTATGCAAATCAGTTCATTTTTCATAATAAATTTATTAACGATCCACAGATGTTTAAAAGTAAATTCTTCAGGATATACCTAAAATAAAATTAAAAAGTGCACACTTATGGAAATTTAAGCTTCTTGTATGTAATTGTAACATCTGTCTCTATCCATCCTTATTAAAAAAAAAAATGTTAAGATTTTCGGTGGAGGTGTCAGGTTTTTATGCAAACAAAAAAAAATTAGTAAGTGAACTAATTTTATACACAAAAACGCCATCAAAACGTGACCGGTAAATAAAGTCACAGAAAAAGTCACAATTTATGGTGGCTGGTAATTAATAAAAATAAAATCATCTATTTCTGTCAGGTACTTCACGAGTATGGGTCTGTTCTGTTTTTGCAAGAGAAATTCATGGATCGAAACTCTAAAAAAATATGTAAAAAACTAAAAAAAAGTAAAACGTTTTCTAACAATGCTACGGCCACATTGAGGGGGAATCCCATAAGACCCGACTTTATGTGAAGAAGGCCTTAAGGGTGTTTTTTTTTTTAAGTTTGCGCCACAAAAAAAATGTAAACAAACCGCAGATCGTATACGAAGTCAGTAAAAAGAAAAAAGAAAAAACAAATACATTTTTAAGTGCTACGGTCACATATTCCATATTTCAATTTCATAGGGAGTTCTTAGTTCTAGTATCCCATAAGAAGACCCGGCTTTATGTGAAGAAAGTCAATTTGATATTAGAATTTGAATTAGAAGTTCCTTGAATGTTCAATTTATTTATGAGACAGATTTTGTTCACTTTTTGGGATAAGTTTTTTTTTCGCTTTCTTTTTTCCTTTGATTTTTTTTTTTTTTTTTTTTTTTACCGTGACCTTTCAACCTGGATTCATCGAAATGACCCATAAACGAAACCTGAATAAAATATTATTTTTAAATATTTCTCCTTAATATTCAAATTGAATTCAACAAAGAATAGCTGATGGTAACTTTCATTCATTGATATTTTTTCACCTCT